AACAGGCAGGGGCCATCCCCAAACTATTACCACAAAGTTGGGAGCATGAAATTATCCAAAATATCTTGGTATGCTGACGCCTTAGGAGTTCCCTTCACTGGAACTAAGGGGCCAAGCCCAACCCCTGAAAAACAACTCCACACCATAATCCCCTCCAACAAACTCTACACTTGGGGCAATGCAGTCAGGCAAGTCATCGGATTGCCAGAGAAGCATGATTCATCACTCCAGAGAACATTTATCCACTACTCGAGTCCATTGGCGTTGTGCTTTGCCCCACTGCATCCAACACTTTGCATTGCACTTGGTAATGTAAGGCTTGGATGCAGCTAATAACACTTGGCGATGGAAACCCATTACATGAGCTCTACACACTGTTCTAACGTGAAGGCCACATGAAGTTAGAGGTCTTTAGCTATTGATCCTGCAGACAGCTGGTGACTTCTGCGCACTGTGCGCTTCAGCATGCACTGTCCCCGCTCTGTCATTTTATGTGGCCTACCACTTTATGGCTGATTTGCTGTTGTTTTCCAGTTGGTTCCACTTTGTTATACCGCTAACAGTTAACCATGGAATATTTAATAGCACGGAAGTTTCACGGATGGACTTATTGCACAGGTGGCAACCTATTGCGGTACCATACTTTAATTCACTGAGCTCCTGAGAGCGACCCATTCTTTCACAAATGTTTGTAGAAGGAGTCTGCATACCTAGGTGCTTGATTTTATACACCTGTGGCCATGGAGGTGATTGGAACACCTGAATCCAATGATTTGGAGGGGTGTCCCAATACTTTTGACAATAATGGTGTATATATATGGAAGCAAGCTGCAGCTGTCGGCAAGTGGCTCAATTGTGCAACTAGGAAAAGATTAGACCTGTTCTGATTAGTGTGTGTGTTTTTGTGTTTTTGTTTTTTTTTTTTTTTTAAATGCACTAGTTACAGAGCAGGACATGATACATAAGGGCATTTCCTCAGTGCCAGAATCAGTAAAACTCCATTTCCATTTTCATTTTCATCCGTTCTTTGCTTAAATTCAGTTGCTGTCAAGGAAGTTGAATTTTAGGAACATGCCTGTCTGCCATGTACTTGGGTAGATGGCAGATGAGTGTTTTAAGGTCTGTTGTCAAGTAGCATGAACCCACGCCCTTCATATTTCTTATTTTTTTTTTTTCTTTCTTTGTCCCAAATTCCCCTACAATTCAATCGATGAAAACCAGTAAAGCATTGATTCCCTAAGGTCATCCCTCCCTGCTGAGACATCTGCCTACCACTGCCTCTGCTAATGGAGATACGGTGTCAGACTTCATACAGGAAGCTATTAGACCAGTGCAGGCTTCTTTTTTTTTTTTTTCTCTTATCGCAGTGTATTTTACAATATTAATTACTTATGCTTCCTCAGCTTCTTTTACATTTTTAAATGAATACAATCCGTCATATTTTTTTTTTTTATTAAATGGTTTTTAATCTGTGATTATGATCAGTTTAATGCAAATGTGCTTGACTGTGTTCAGTTTGTAATTATATATGTACAGTGAACAATGCCATTGCTTATACAGTATTGGCCCATAAACTTAAATTGATTTTGGTATAGAGGTTTCATTACTGATGCATTTTGATCATCAAAACTTTTATCACTGAACCTTTTTGGTAGCGGTGTGTTTGTGTGGCGTGTGTGGTTTTTTTTTTTTTTTTGTGTTTTTTTTTTTTTTTTTTTTTGTTTTACTATATCAACAAAATCTTTGTACATCGTTTTACAAACTTGAGACATGAGAGAATGCCTGTTGCTCTGTGGGTTCACTAGAAGGATAGCAAGCAAGATGAATATTTGAGACTGTCTGATGAAAACCCTAGATACAGGCACTTTTACAGACACAGCCATCCAATAGAGGATGAGTCTCTCCACTGATGCTTGTTTGTATCTGTACTGCTTTTCTATCTCAGACAAGTCATTGTGGAAGCACAAGCAACTGAGAAGAAACTCCATAAGCTAGTTGTTAGAAAGATAGAAGCAAGTCAAAAGCTGTGTTGCTTTGGATTACTTCTGAGGCCCAAGTACATGAATCCTAAAGAAACCCCTGGTACAGCAGTCTTAGGTCCCTTACCAGCTGTGTGGAGAGCAATACCTAGCAACTTTTTAGGATGTTTAGTGAGATTCTGTTACCCTAGTAACTTCAGAGGTGCTTAAGTCAAGTATTTGTACATTTTCAAAATGTATGTTTTATCCTTTTAAAGATTCTTATTTGCCGCATTTTGGTTTGGTAAAATGCCATTGAAAGTATTTTGGTATATCTTATAAATTTAGTTGTATTTATATGTAGCACCCTCTAGTTTAACTAGGGGGAGCTAGATTCCTGATTGTCATAGAAGAAGGCTAAGTAGCAGCCTGGGTGTAATACCCAGAAGGTCAAATTGTGGTCATGAGCTGAGGCTGTATAGTCCAGCTCCTCTGGAATTTCCCCCTGCTCTAGGGCTGTGGAGGAAGGCTCTAGAGGCAGTGGGTGGGTCTGTGGAGTGACTGGCTTGCACTCTTGAAGGATCCTAGCCAATTCCCAACAGGAGATTGAAGAGGGGCTGGGACACCCTTAAAAGTGTTGGAGCCTGCTCAGCTGCATGAGAGTTCAGGAGGAAGATGTGAGGTTTGAAGGCAGGAGGCTGTGAGGAGGCCCAGTGGGATGGGGCTTACCTGCAGGTCTGGAGCTGGAAAAGGAGAAGCTCAGAGTTTCACCGGCCTCCTCCAGAGCGAGGACCCACCTGTATGGCAGGTAAGGAGTGGCCTAGCTAAAAAGGTCTGGAAACGGCTACCAACCCACCAGCGGTACATGAGAAAATCGGAGTATCTCTGCACCCCCTGGGTGGATAGGGGTAGGAGCACTCTGGTGGGAAACAAGATTCGCTGTCTACTTGGAACTGTGCACTTTTAAAGTAACAGACACCAGATCCCCTGTTCAGGGATACCTCAAGATTGCTGGGTGAAGGAGTTCATCTAGGGTCTAGGGGGTGGTACATTGAGGAGACCCTGGCTAGCTCTCCAACAAAGATTATGTTGCAGTGAAGGCTTGTAACTAGTTCCAGGAAGTTGTCCTCCGTTCATCAGTTTCCTTGGGCATCCTGTACACCCCTAACCCTATCCCAGTTAAAATCCCCTAAATCAACTAAACCAAAGCTCAAGGACTGATTTCTGACTCTGTATGCAAGCCTGTGTGAAGATGTGTATTGACTGGCTGTGCAGATCTATAGAGGGATCCAAATCGTCTAGCGACGCCTAAGGAGGTAGTTCTACATATGATTGTATCTGCCTAAGTGGGGAGTTTTGTTTTAGGTGCTTTTATATAGGGTACCTCTTGGCTCTGTTGGTTACATTATATAATTTGGGTATATCTGTTCAAACAGTGCAAAAGAAAATCCCCGATGATCATATCAGAAACTCAGAGTAGGCCTGTGTCCTGTGCACTCGTACTATATTATCTTAAAGTGGAGTTCCAGTCTTTTTTTTAAACTTCCAATATTTCCAATGCCCCTCCAATGTACAGTGCAAAATGGAAATAATTTTTTTTTTACCTTTTTTAAATACCTTTTTATTATAATTCTTCAGGCGACACTTCCTGTCCCGTCCTCCTAGGCAATGTCATTAGGCGATTCCCTTTGACTCCTGGGATATTGGCGTCATCTATCCCAGGAGTCTTTGGGAAGCCTAATAATGTAATGTGATTGGCAGGTTGCCATAGCAACAGGGTGGGTACTTCCATGATGCTGCCATTGCTACAACAACCTGCACTAAACACAATGCGCCGTGCAGTGTCATTACTGCGCAGACTTGAGATCAGGAGGTGTGTGCTGGGTAGCCAGCTGCACCGAATCCCGAAAAAAAGACACAAGTGGGCTTCAGATGCCCACATCCTAAATGGCCACCTGCCTGCATCTGAGATCAGGTAAATTATTAAAAAATTTTAAGCTAACCAGCACGAATACTGTTCTAACAGTTTTCTAATTTAAATGTACAAGTAATAACAATCACAAGGGAATTAAAAAAAAAAGTTGATTATGGGGACTGGAGTTCCGCTTTAAGTAGTCTGATTAGCCCTCCTAGTTATTTGGGATCATGGGACTACAAAATATGGTTTCTAGTGTTATGGAGAGTGATTCAATAGTTTGGCAACAGACAGTGGGCAGTGCAGACAACATTTAGTCCACTAAAATGCTATGTGTTGTCAGCCCACAACAAGAATTGGGAGCCAAGTACATTTCTGGGCAATCGTTATTTTTCTATACTTGCAGGGTCTTAAAAGGGATAAAACATAGGAAATATGTATGTATTGGAGGTATACAAGTGTTTCACAGGTTCACACACCAAAAACGTGAACCACAAAACAGAAATTCACAAGCTGGCTTTCTCGTCCAATAGGAAAACCTCTCTGTGTTTCACCCAAATAGGGTTTAATTGTACAGGCCCCTACAATTAAGCCCTACTTTGGGTGAAACGCTTTGTAAAGGTTTTCTTGATGGGCGGAGAGCCAGCTGAAGCCAACTTATGAATAATGGTTTTGTGGTTCACTTTTTTTTTTGGTGTGTGGTCCTATGAAACACATGTGGTTCTATGGTCAAGCAGTTGTGTGTGAACTGGCATGTGTGTAATTTAATATATATTATATATATATATATATATATATATATATATATATTTTTTTTATTTATTTTTTATTTATTATTTATTCCCCCCCCCCCTTGCAGCCCTTTAAAGTTGGGGGGACAACGACACAGTACCTCTGGGTAGGACTGCAGATTTCTGGCGTGTGTTTTACTATGCGATCCCCTGCAGTGGGGCAGGAACAGGAATGTTTGCATTTGTAAAGGATTTGGGGATGCATAGTTGCAGACAGACTTCGATAGGCAGAGTCTGGAGTCCCTGATCTCTTGATTTGTGGAGCACCATTAGTTTTTCTAAGAACATCAGATGATCGCTAATAATTTTTTTTTTTTTTTTTTTTTTTTTACAGGTTGTTTTAAAGATGACCGCATTGTGTTTTGGACTTGGATGTATTCCACATATTTTATGGAAAAACTGGCTCCACGACAGGATGACATGCTCTTCTACGTGCGACGGAAACTGTCCTATGTGGGCACAGACGGCATCGAAGGCAAAAAGGTGACTAGCAGAGGAGTATCTCGCAGGGTAAATTTTAAAAAGCTGTTTTAATCTTCTTTTCTTATAATCCCTCTGCACAATTCTATTATTACTAATTCAGATGTAGAGAATAGAGAAAACAGAACTGAAAACGATTGGTATGTCTTTAATTTATGTACAGAGCAGTTATCTGTGCCAGAGCAACCACTCAGGATTATACTTATTGTGGTATAAAGGGGCCCTGTCATTTTGCGAAGGAAAAAAAAAAGGCAGTGGGTTGGATTCCTGCAATAGATATATAGTATACTGCCTCTCTGGCCACCCGTGGCTTACCTTTTTGATCCATTCTACAATCTCAGACTTTCCTTTTTAGAAAGTGTCTCTCCCATGTGCTGTGCATCTGTGCTCAGATGTCACTACAAGACTCGGTAGTGACATGGGGGTTAGCAGAAACAACCACAGTGTGAGGCATTGTGCATTCCTGGAAGTGTCAAGTCAAATGCCAGTGAGTATTGTGGAAGCGGTTTTTTTGCTGGATCTACAGATAAGGTATTAGACATGAGCACTGGAGGAGGATAGTATTACACCTCTTCTGTTGCTGGGACCTGCTCTTTGTTTTACTTTGGGGAAAAGACAGTCTCTCCCCTCTGCCAGGCTCTTGATTCTGTCTGTGCCCCACTGGGAAAGTACTTTTGGTGTGGTGTTTTTTTTTTTTTTTTTTTTTTTTTTTTTTTTTTTTTAAATCAAAAAAAAAATTAAAATTAATTTTTTTATTTCTGCCCCGCAGGAAATGGGAGGAAATCTCACCAAAGGGAGGAACAGTGTGACGATGACACGTCCTGTTCCAGTGACCACTGTAAAAAATGTATTTATTTTATGTTGCAGTATCAAGTGGTCGCAAGGGACACATAGTGGATGTCAGGACACTATTTGCATGGCATTGGCATGTTTTTTGGATGGGTTTCTTCTGTCTGCTCCTGTTTATGTTTTTTTTTCTTTTTCACACTCCAAAGACGTGCGTGTGCGTGTGCGTGTGCGTGTGCGTGTGCGTGTGCGTGTGTGTGTGTGTGTGTGTGTGGGGGACCTTGCTTTATAAGCTCCTTGAGGGCAGGGACTGATGTGAATGGACAATGTATCCACCCCCCCTTTTTGTTTTTTCACCCCTTTATGGGATGACCGAATCCGATCCCCGGAACAGATTGTACAACTAGAAGGATCCTTTTGGCCACTGTGGAATCTTTGTAACCTACCGCTATATTGAAACTGACAATGACCCTCCGCTACTAGAGCAGATACACACTTCCGTATCTGGGAAGTAGATTCTGCCAGTCTACTCCCTTAATCCCTCTTGGCCTATGCCCCCCTGATTATGCTTTCTCACTCTCTTACCTGACCACTAGATTTTCCACTTGCCACAAATGTCCCATCTTGGATACAGGATCTTAGTTATATTACGACTCTGTAAGATATACCAATTTATGAAAGCTGGCTTTTGTCCTTTCTACATTGTTAAAACCCTGATATGGGTAATTACCTGTTTGTCATTTTGTTGAATTGTCAGCTGAACTTTGGTTGGATTTTTAAGAGAAAAAAAAAAGTTTTACTAGCAGGGATGCAGAAAGTGACAAAATCCTGTCAATGGTTTAAATGAAAATTATTAGTAATAGCATTTTTAATTGGCTCATTGACTTCTAAAAGCAAGCTTTATTGCCAAGACTAAATATTCCAAATGTATTACAAAAAATTTAAGAAAATTCTGAAATATACAACAAAAGCAGGGTCAATTAAAAATAAGATCAAGGAGTAAAGAAAAAGATGAGCAATAAGTAAAAGGGGACATGCGTGGCCCATCTTCTGGATGAAGAAGCAATGTTCTATTTTGACTGGTTTATTGATGGAGGTACATTTTATACTGGACATTTGAAGGGTTGGAGAGTGCTCAGGGAGTTCCTGAGATGGGGAGAAATGCTTCAAGTCTTGAAAGTGGGAGTCTAAAGTGGAGAAAAGGGCCGAGGTTGTACTTAGGGTGGTATGCATGCTGTGTGGCTAAAGGTGTGTGAACAACTAACCATCATACCTGTATGAACCAGTTAGACACACAATTCTGTAACATGGGCATTAATATGTAGTAACTCCCATCTCCACAATCCCACCCCCTATTAGTCCCTCCACTCTTCTAGAAATGCTTTCCACCAGATTTTGCAGTGGGAATTTTTGCTGTTTTACCCAAATGAGCATTTGTGAGGTCAGGTACTGATGATTATTGAGAAGACTTGGCTCACAACTGATGTTCCAGCTCACCCCAAAGTTGTTCAGTAGGGTTAGGGCTCGGGCTCCGTGTAGGTCACTTGAGCTCCTCCACACCAAACTCTTAAAACCATATTTTTATGGAGCTGAAATTTGTTTGAAATCATTACCTTCGTGACAGGTTCGCTTTAAATAGAAGCCCTGTCTTTTAATCCTTTTACTCGGTGTTAGCGTCTAGAGTTCAGAAAATGAAAGCGAAGTCCCTAAATGGATGCGACAGATTGAGGTGACGGATTGTCTTGTCTATTGTGGTCATTTAAGCGTTAAGAGGTTTAATGTAAGCGCTTGCGCGCCTGGTAAATCTCCCATCACATAGTAGGCTGACTGCAGCAGTTCTGTTGCAGGAAATGGACATTAATTTTGTTTATAAGAACATAAAACCCATTTAAATAACTCTGGTTGCTGCATAGTGCATGCCCTTGAGTAATTACAAACACCCCCCACCCCTTCCCCACTAGGGAAACCACTTGAGAAATCCTTTAAAGGGAACCTGGCATGACAGCAGTTTCCTTTCAAAGCCTAGTGTCACATATCACATAGAGTGCCGACAGCTGCCACTGCCTCAGGTAGACCTCATTTCAAGCAGAGGTCAACAGCATGTAAATATTCTTAGGACAAACCCAGATCTATACTGAGATCAAAAGTTAGAAGAAAAAAAATTCAAAAAGATGGCAGACCCAATGGACCACTTTTGTCTTTTATTGCGATCGATTCTTTCTTTCTTTTGGGTTGAGAACTTCCAAAGTTGTACTTGTAGCTGCTGACTTTAAAGAGGAAATTCACCAAGCTATCCAAAAATTAAATAGACAGTACTGCAGATCCCACTGTAGTCTTGAGGGTCCATGCAAACTAGGCAGGAGAAAAAAATGCCAGAACTGCATGCAGAAAAATGCAGCATAAAAAGCGCTCCTATGGAATATATTGTGCATGTGTTTAGGTGTGTTTTGCATTTAAAAGTATTTTCCCCAAAACACTAGAAAAAAGTTTTTAAACTTAAGGCCTGAAGGTGCTAGTGTTTTATATGCAGGCTACAGGCTTCATTGACAAAATTAGTTGCGTTTCCATGCCTTCAAATAACACTACCATAATGGATTCTGACTTGTTTGGTTTCGAATCTTCAGTTGGGACTGCAGCTGTTTGACAGCCGGAATTGAAAGCCAGCAGCCACACAAAATGTCGGCTGATGGCACTCAATTGTAGGATGTACAGTACTGTGCAAACATTTTAGGCAGTTGTGAAAAAATTATGTAAAGTAAGAATGATTTAAAAAAATCTATATTTTAATGGTTTTTAGCAATGTACAAAATTCAATGTGGGAGAACTGAAGAAAAATGTAAATCAAAACAATATCTGATGTGACTACCCTTTTGGCTCCAAACCAGCATCAGTTCTTACTCTTGTGCACTTGCACAAAGTCAGGGCTTTTGTAGCATTAGTCATGTGTATGATTAACCAATTATATCTACCATGTGCTAATGATCATCAATTACATATGTAGGTTGAAACGGTCATAAACAGAAACTGCTGTGTAGGAGGCCTAAAACTGGGTGGGGAACGGCCAAACTCTGCTACTAAGACCTAATTCACATATATGTGGTGCTGGAAACGCAGCAAATCTTGAGCGTTTCCCGCAGCTCATTGAAATCACACTCCGTTCATTCAATCTGCCACCGGTGTCCATGTAAAATTAATGGCACCCCAAAACCGATAACCGATTGTAAGAAACGGATCGCATGGATAGGAAAACCCATGCAATTTGATTGTGGCGCGGCAAAAAAAGTTTTTTTGCACCTTTTTCGTGCGGATGCGATTTGAGCCCATTCACAAGACTGGGCTTAAATCACACTGCAAAGAGTCACATGTGATTTGAACAGGAATGCGATGCGATTCTTGTCCGAATCACAAGCGATTTCCCGCACTGCTGTTGTGTGAATCCATTCTACGGTGAGGTTGTGGAAGACTGCGTCATGTCACAAGTCCTACACCATGACTAAGCACAGCAACAAGGTACACAATACAGCTGCATCAGCAAGGTCTTTTCCGACAAAAATTTCAAAGCAGACTGGGGTTTTAAGATGTGCTGTTCAAGTTCTGTTAAAGAAGCACAAAGAAACTGGCCCGCGTTGAGGACCGTAGAGTCAATGGTTGTCCAAGAAAACTTCAATGTAGCAAATGAGACATACCATGCTTACAGTGAGCAACAGAAGTAATTGAACACCCTGCGATTTTGCAAGTTCTCCCACTTAGAAATCATGGAGGGGTCTGAAATTCACATTGTAGGTGCATTCCCACTCTGAGAGACTTAAATTTTTTTTTTAAATTCAGGAAATCACATTGTATGATTTTTAAAGAATTTATTTGTCTTGCACTGCTGAACATAAGTATTTGAACACCTGAGAAACAGCAAGAATTCTGGCTCTCAAAGACCTGTTACTGTGCCTTTAAAAGTCCTCCTCTACTCCACTCAATCTAACTTAGTAGCACCTGTCTGAGCTCTTTAAAGACACCTGTCCACCCCACAGTCAGTCAGACACCAACTACTACCATAGGCAAGACCAAAGAGCTGTCAAAAGACACCAGAGACACAATTATGGACCTCCACAAGGCTGGAAAGGGCTACGGGGCAATTGCCAAGCAGCTTGGTGAAAATAGATCAACTATTGGAGCAATTGTTAGAAAATGGAAGAGGCTAAAGATGACTGTCAGTCTCCCTCGGACTGGGGCTCCATGCCAGATCTCACCTCGTGGGTTATCACTGATAAGAAAGCTGAGGAATCGGCCCAGAACTACAAGGGAGGAGCCGGTCAATTCCTCACTGTACGTCCCTTCAACATCAGAACAGGCCATCAGCACAGAACTATGCACGAAAACATTGAAACTGAGATGCAGAAAAATGGCTGCAGGTACTCCTGGACTGATGAGTCAAAATCTGAAATATTTAGCTGCTGTAGCAGGAAGCTGTTTTTTCACTTCAGAAAGGTACAATGAGTGTCTACATACAGTGAAGCATGGTGGAGGTTCCTTGAAAGTTTGGCACTGCATTTCTGCAAATGGCGTTGGAGATTTGGTCAGGATCAAAGATGATGTTCTCAATTCTGAGAAATACAGGCATATACTTATCCATCATACCATACCATCAAGGAGGCATGGAATTTGGCCACAAATGTATTTTGCAGGAGGAAAATTACCCCAAACATTCATTTTTTTTTTCACACCTGCCTAAAACTTTTGCACAGTAGTGGGGGAAGCTGAGGCTGAGTTCCAGATATTTTGTATAGTTACATTGGTATAGTTTGAACCAATGTAAGTACACATACTGTATTCCACACCTGGCCAATTCCTGTGGAAACAATCGCTGTAGTACTCGCCTCTACTTTAGTGATCCTCGCTGTCTTCCAGATCGTGTCGAGCATCTGCCTTGCTGCATAGTAACCATGCAGCAAGCTCAAAGTCATGGTCTACACCTCATTCAATCAGAAAATGCATTGCATTCATTGAGAAAAATACACGGCATTCTCTGAATGGCGCCTGTAATGACAAGTGACTCCCTTCCATGGTTATTAATGAAGCGTGGCAAATGCTCGACATTGAACCTGGAATAAAGGAGGATCACCCTATTAGCGGTGGCTACTTCAGTGATTCTCTGTTCCAGGGGGATTGCCCAGGTATGTTATCAAAAACAATTTCCAAGCTCACTTGCCAGCCTGCAACAAAGCCAAATGGACCCTGTCTAACAGTTCATGTTAAAAACAAGGTTTAGTTTGCACACATTTGTAAATATATGTGTAAGCTGCAGTGACCATGTCAAGGCATCCCAGTGTACTGCAGTCCTAACTCCTATAATTTTGAGTCTTCCAAGTTGGTGCACATATAGTAGACAGACGGGGTAAATTTGGTTTTATTGCAGGCTTACTGTTAAGTGAGCTGGAAAGTTTTATCGTGCATTGCCCTTCAATGTGCTCCTTGCTGCAAAGGCTAGTCATAGGTTGGGGTGGTTGCCATTTGTTTGTATACAGGTATGTGATATGTATTCCTAATTTGACCCCGCAAAAAAAATGTATACCAGCATTCAGTGTGCGTATGCAGTTGCCTCATTTATCTAAGGCCTGGTTCACACTAGTGGGGACCGTGCGGCCAGCATTTGCTCGGGCATGGCAGCCCATTCATTTGAATTGGCTGCTGTGCCGCATGAAACACACAATAAAGGTGTATGCACCTTTTAATAAAAACGCGGCCATAGGCAAGCCGCATGGTATTTTTGTGCCTGCACCACCTGTGATTGTGCTGTGGGCTGAGATGTGTGTGGGTGCTTTTCAGGATGAATGGCAGCTCCACTCCTCTTGCAAGAGCAGCACGATTCAATTGCAGTAATCGCATTGATACCCGCATTCAGACTGCCGCGTGTGGGCTAGTGTAAACCACAGGTAATTGTCTGAAATATTAATTTGCTCTGTAGTAGGATTAGTTAGTTTTTTAATACAGCAGGTCAAATAAGTATTGAACACCAACACCTTTTTTCTCAGTAAATGTATTTCTAAAGGTGCTATTGACATTTTCACCACATTGGTAACAATCCATGCAATCCATACATACACAAACTACAACAAATAAGTTCAGAAATTAGGTTTGTGTAATAAAATGTTGTGACACAGGGGAAAAAGTATTGAACACGTGAAGAAAGGGAGGTGCAAAAAGGCATGGAAAGCCAAGACCCCAGCTAAAATCTATCAGTAATTGGAAAGCAATCCTGCCCCTTGTCAGTGCAAATAATTATCAGCTAGTGAAGTCTCAACTGGTGGCCTATAAAGAAAAAAAAAAGGTGTCTCATTACCAAGGTGTCACACAAGGAACCTCTCATAATGGGTAAATACAAAGCGCTCTTTCAAGACCTTCTCAACCTTATTCTTGCAAAATATACTGATGGCATTGGTTACAGGATTTCTAAACTTCTGAATTTTCCAGTGAGCACTGTTTTGGCCATAATCCAGAAGTAGGAAGAACATAATTTCACCATAAACCGGCCATGACCAGGTGCTCCTCCCAAGATTTCTGACAGAGGATTGAAAAGAATTATCAGAAGAGTTGTCCAAGAGCCAAGGACCACTTGTGGAGAGCTTCAGAAAGACCTGGAATAAGCTGGTACAATTATTTCACAGAAAACAATAAGTAATGCACTCAACTGCTATGGTGTGTATGCACACTCACCACGCAAGACTCCATTGCTGAAGAAAAAAATATGTTGAAGCTCATTTAAACTTTGCTGCACAACATTTAGACAAGCCTGTGAAATGCTGGGAGAGTATAGTCTGGTCAGATGAGACCAAAATTGAACTCTTTGGATGCCATACCCCAAAAACACCATACCAGCAGTGAAGTTTGGTGGTGGGAGCGTCCAGGTGTGGGGCTGTTTTTCCAGCGTATGGTACAGACAAACTTCATATCATTGAAGGAAGGATGAACAGAAAAATGTACCAATACATTCTTGATAAAAATCTGCTGCCGTCAACCAGGATGATGGAGATGAAACAAGGGTGGACATTTCAGCAACACAATGATTCCAAACACAAAGCCAAGGAAACTCTCAATTGGTTTTAAAGAGAGAGAAACTAAAGTTGCTAGAATGGCCCAGCCAATCTCCTGACTTGATTTCAGTAAGCACATTCAATGCTTTCCCTGTGTCATTCCATTATATTACACAACTTCTTTTCTGAACTTTTGTTTTTTTTTTTTTCTTTGTATGTATGGATTGCATGGGTTGTTACCGACATGTGGTAAAAATTTCATGTCAATAACACCAATCTGAGAAATAGATTTACTGAGAAAAAAGGTGACATGTTCAATACTTATTTTTACCCGCTGTATGTACTAAAGAATTGATGAGATGAATTTGGTTGTGAACATTACCACCAATTTTTACTGATCTAACATGAGTCGCCGAAATCTGATTGTTGTGGTTTTTGGTGGATCATCATTGATGTTTTCTTTTTTCTATACATTCTGAACAAGCTAATCAAATTATCAGCCTGTTTGAAGTCCTGTTTCTGTGTTGCAATGTTGTAGTTATTGCAGGGATGTAGGTAAAACATGTTTTATTGACCATACAATGCCCTGGCTGTTCTAATGTAAAATGTTATTTTTGATAATTATTTTGGACTCTGTCAGAGCTATGTCTTATGTCATATTATTCTGATGGTTTCCAGCAGGTAGAAGTTGAAGTCTATCGAAAGGATTCGAAGAAGCTTCCCGGCCTCGGAGACCCTGACATTGACTGGGAGGAGAGTGTCTACTTAAACCTTATTTTACAGAAGGTCAGAGACTGTCCCTGGTGTGACCACTGGTGGTTGGGAAGATTCATATTATTATTTATGAAAGGGCCTAATATTTCGATTCATTTCAATGCAAAGTTTTGGTTTTTATTTTTTTTTTTTCATTTTTTTTTTTTTTTTTTTTTTTTTTTTCTTTTGAAGGATGAATTTCTTGGCCAACATTAGTTGTTTATGGCAGGCTTGTATTAATTTCTAACCCAATGAGTTTAACATCTTCTAGTTGTAGAGGTAATACTATTTTGCAATGGGGCAGATGGGGAAGGCACTGTGGTTTTGTGTTTTTGTGTTTTTTGTGTTTGTTTGTTTTTTTTTTTTGTGTGTGGTGTGTGTGTGTGTTTTTTTTTTTTTTTTTTTTTTTTTTTTTTTTTTTATCCAGAACTCCAAAAAAGAATAAAATAGCTTGTTAAAAGATGAAATGCCAAAACCAGCTTTTGATGCACTATCCCCCCTTCAAACTAGAGATGACCACCACAGCACTTTTTTTTTCTGACGCTTTATGTCCTCATTCTATTTGGCCAGCGTCATTCAACACACTCCTGACTCCAGGTCATCTGGATTCTGCCCCAATCTGTGATTGGACAGTACAAGGAGAAATAGCACAGTGATGAGCTTGTTGCTGTGTCACTGTGCTTTCTCTTCCTATCAGCATTTTTCTTGTCCGCACATGAACGGATTGGCTTTGTGCTGCTTCTTCCTTGAACATCCATCCCTGCTGTACAGGGACTGTAAAGACTGATTAGTACTTACACTGCTTGTGTATTTACAAAATACATTTAAAGGCTAAGTTGCCTTTTTTTTTTTTTTTTATAGTATCTAGCTCCCCTATGCACCAATATTCCGTTAATGTACCCGAGTTGCAAAAATATTCAAGCTCTTTGATCTGGAGAGCAAGGCCTTACCTTAGCCTTTGGTAAAATTCTTAGAAATCTTTTTCAATTCCTGGAATGTAGACAGAGGACAGAGGAGCCAGTAGGACCCCGGAAGCAAATTATCAGCTGATCTCATTAGCACACACCTCTTGCACTGACCTCATTTGTGCACACCCTTCACCCATCAACTATTTTTTCACAGCATCCCTGGGATCTCTTTCCCACATGCATTAGCCTGGCTACCCCAGCGTCTCTTCAGATGGGCTCAGGCCGCATGCAGCCCACGGGACACCCCTGATGTAATGCAAGGGGCTTACTTGATTGGATATAGAGTGATTGAATAGATGCTGTGTCCTCCTATTATGTAGTTTGGGTAAATCTAAAGGAGATCGTACAGAGATTGTACAATCAGATTGTATAGTGTATGGCCACATTTATACACCTAAAATAAACTAGGTGCGCTTTCAGTGTCCTTGTTAAAAGCACACATTTTGCCACATGAAAAATAGGTGACAAATGCAGCAAAACAAGCAGTAAAAAATGTACAACACGCTTCGTAGCGCTGTATCGCAAAAAATGGCCTGGTCAGGAAGGAGGGGGTAAATCCTCTGGAGGACAAGTGGTTTAAACAGTATAGGCACTTATTTTTAATGTTTTACATTGCTATTCTTACAAAGGGCCAAACCCGAAGTGATCAAGACTTAAAGTATAACTAAAGGCAAAACTTTTATTAGTTTTGGACAGAGTGGGAATGGATTAGAACTCCTTGTAAGATAATTTTAATCACATTCTATACCCCCCCCCCCTGTTAGAGAGATTCCCCCTCTATTTGCCATGTTTACCATTGCAAGTAAAAAAAAAACAAGTTTTGGGTTGTCCCCAGAAAAGTAATAGAGGGGACATCTTCCAATGGGGAGAATGGTTCTGATAACCTGGGGGTCCCAAGGGATTGCTTTTAATTTGTAGGGATGTTGGGCTGTGGGACAGGAATTGAAGGTATATCTCTGCACAATGACAGATGGCAAAAATAATTCGACAGGTGTTATAATCCTCCCTTACTCTATCCAAAGTGGGAAAAAAAAAAACTTTTTTGCCTTTTTTTAGTTCTGCTTTAATTTTTGGACTAAAGTTCCATTTTAAAAATAACCTGACAGCAGTAATACATTTTGTAAGTAAAATCCTTTTTTTATTAAAATAACCATGTTTTTTTTTTTAAATTGGATACTTAAAAAAAAAAAAAAAAAAATTTGTTACAAGAACTGCAAAGTTGATAGGATTCTGACGTTTACGTTGGATCATATTAACCTCCCTAGCGGTATTCCCGAGTGTAGCTCGGGGTAAAATGTCAGTACCAAAAGCGGTAACCCCGAGCTACACTCGGGCTTACCATGCGGCGCTGCATAGGGAGTCCCTGCAGAGCTTACCTTGTCTTTCGCTCCCGCGATGTGTCCCCTGCAGCGTCCCCGGCCATCTCCTCCGGCCGATGCCGGCATCCGGCTTCTGTGTTCCGGTCCCTGTGACGTTGGGATGTACGGGCGCCGCTGCCGGCGGCGGGAAATTTGAAAATTTAAAAAAATGCCATTTTTTTCCAAACAAATTTTACATAGCAAAACTTTGCTGTTTCAACCCATTTCACATACATTTTGTCCCTAGTGCTTTGTCCTGTGCCCTGCCTGCATTTTGTCTGTCCTTTCTGTCTGAAAACTGAGAAAAGTCCATGGCGTCCAAAAAGCGTCCCTTTAGGTCAAAAGCGGATTTAGATCAAGCTAGAGAACAGCGATAGTAAATCAGAACCACTTGCAGAATTGAGTGATGATTAGTGGGGAAATTCGTCATCCGACACTGAAAACGATTTTGCGACTTTGCTCAGCAATGTGCGAACTTGGCGCTCTATTTCAAATTTCAGTGTTTTTGGTTTGATTATAGTATTGAATTAAATGTATTATTATATTATTTTTTATGATTATGTATTAAATTATTTATGATTTCGTGTTTCAAATTTTATCATACCCGGGATGTTTAATAGACTCTTGTTCGGAAAGATTTCAGTGAGTTATTCCTAAAAATTACAGCCTACAATAAAAAACTACATATTTCCATGCAAAATAATGGTACCGCTTTCAGCACCAAAAATCTGAAATAATCAGACCACCAGGGAGGTTAAGAATTATCATGTGACCCTAAAAACACTGTGTTATTCATGCAGTGTGTTATTTCATTCAAGGTCCACTCAAAAGTCCAACTCTGTGCTCCAAAAAACTGTCCCTTGCAGTGGCAAGAATTACTGTACTTCCTCATTTTGTCTAGGGGAGAAGAGAAACCATTTTACTTACCTGATCCTCTGGCATGACCCCCCCATCTTGTAGATGGTGCTTTCCATGATGGCACTTCTACCATTTTACCTCCTCACAGCTGTTCACCCCATATGGAAAACGTCGTCTGGTAAGGATAAGCATGGTCAACTGACTGAAAGACAAAAGGATGTTGTGCAGGAATGTGACCCGGAATAAGAAAACAACTGCAAAAAGTTCAGTCTCTGTCCCATGAAGACATTCACCCATAGATAGAACTATTCTGGCCTGCTAAGCCCCATCTTTCTAGCAAATGAAGAGGCTAGGAAACCGCTTCTTTGGAAGCACAAAATAACACAAACAGCTGAGTTGCTACTATTAAGCTGTAAAGTTGTAGTGCTGTGTTTTTTTTTTTTGTTTTTTTTTTTCTTTGTAGCCTCCCTGTCGGGAAAAAAATAAATTTGGTGTCTTTTGAAAGTTTCATTTCTGCCTTTTGACCAGATGTCTCCCTTGTTACAGAAGTGAGACTCGCTTGGGTGGGATCATAATGTTGCTGAAAGATCTTCTATAGAGATTTTGGTCTAATTTTTGTCTTTTCTTGCAAAGTAATATTAACGTAAGAATTTTATTTACATAAAGTACACTAAATCTAACTACACTAAATCTGTGTGACATGCAAATTCAATGTTATCCTAAAAATAGTAAGACTTGGCATTTACCACAACCTCACCTATTGGCTGACCAGTGGTCAGTAAGCCTCTTCAAATGGCTGTACCAGGGGTCCCAGGGTGAACTGGCAACCTGCTCCTTCCCTATTTATTATATAATTTTTTTTTTTAATACGTTAAGTCTGAACTCCATCCATTCCTTCAGTCTTGCACAATTGTATGGACTCCTCTCCTGTACTGAAAATGCTTATTCTGATTTCACTGCACACTGTGAGCTTCTGACAATGTGCATCAGAAGCTGCAGCAAGTTAAATAGAAGCCCACCCAGCCCCTTTCCTGGCTAAAGAACATCACCATCATTTAACTCCAGTCTGACTGTCCCTGGCCTGCCTATTTCTGCTTCTCGGTCTTTATTTTCAGTGAGTAGCATGGTTCAACAGCAAAGGCGTTATTGCATCTTGGCATATTCCAGGTGAGGTGTGGTACAAATAGACTGAATAACCGAGAAGTAACCAAGTACATGGAAATTTTAAGCCATGTAAAGACAAATACCATGTCAAGAGGCATAGAAATTAGTGGTCACTCGTAACCCTAAAACAAAAGTCCTCTTTAGCTGTTGAGCTCTATTTTCCATTAACTGAAGTGGGGAAGGTAAAAGGGAGGGAGGGGTTAAATTAGAGGGTGAAACAAGGAAGGTTACGTGGCCAACAGGCAAGAATGGATACAGTAACCAAGGTAGGGTGAGGAAAGTGTAGTAGGGGGTATATTGAACCATCCTATTAGAAGTAGTGGTGCACCGAAATGAAAATTTTGGTGCCGAAACCAAAAATAATTCAGAATGCACTTGGCCAAAAACCGAAACGTAGGGTGTGTTGTGTGTGTTTTTTTTTTTTTTTTTTTTTTTTACATTTAATTAATATGGCTGGCAATTTTGCATTGAAGTCACTAAGGGGCATTTTTACATGAGAGTCTAGGAGACGCGATTTTGCTTTGAAGTGAATAGGGACGCAACTTTGCATTGAAGTCACTCGGGGGGGCTTTTTTACATGAAAGTCTATGAGATGCAACTTTGCATGTATTGGCAGCTTTTTTCCTATTGACAAAATGCCAATTAGCACTATTTTCAGCCAATATGTTTCGGCTGCCAATATATCGGTGCATCCCTAATTAGAAGGCTAGGGAGAGAGGGAAGAGCCACTTGGGAGTGGGTCTTGCACACAATCCCACAGGTATAAAAATGAATGGTTTGTGAGTCATGTAGGCCTGGTCACTTATTGGATTTCAGTTCTTTCAATCATGGAGGCTCAACATCACATGTGGGTGTTACCTGTGGCGGTCTGCACGCAAATGCTGCATTCCTAGAAACTCACTCCTCCAGACTGACATCCACCAAATTTTATATTGGCATAACTGCTCTTGCATGCCAGCCTGCTACTTCTATCTGGACTTCTCTCTTGAGGGGAGTACTGAGACAAGGTGCTGAGATCTGCCTGTATTGCATAGAGAAGCAGAGAAACCCAGTGATTATATAAGTGAATCTAAGGCTTGTAATGAAAACTGTCTTTTTGTTTAAACAATTAGCATGTTGATGACGGGTGAACTAGGAAAGGGAAAAATCTACGCATATTAAATATACTGAATATAGTAGGACATGGTTTAAACTTTTATCAGTGTTTTTATTGCTGTCTTTTCCCTTGCTAAAGAGTCACCCTCTGTTTTTACTGGTCCTGAACTGATATTTTAGAATTGTAGCTGGAAAATGCAGTGAGAGAAATCTTCCAATAAGGATGTTTGATGACAACTAAGGGTCCATGTTCACTGCGCTTATGAAAACACCAGTACCCTTGGCAGAAAAGAAAAAAACCCTCATATATAGAACGTAAACCAGATGTGTGGTTCGTTTTTTTTTTTTTTTTTGTTTTGTTTTTTTTTCTGCCTCTAAAAGTCAAAAAATATGCCTCCTAATCTGCTTCGACACATAGGATAACACTGAGCAGCTCCTACAGGCAAAACACAAAACTCTGTAGACGCAGCGATTTTGAAGGCCATGTTCATGAAGCCTTAGGTGAGAGTTCCCCTCTGAAGAAATTTGCTCTCATTTCCTGTTGTTTCTCTGAGACAGGAAAAGTCAGAGCAGAAATGGAGCAGTTGCTCACCGAAGTGGGTTGTTCGCTTTTTTGGAGGATGAAACTTGATTGGTTGCCGGGGGCCAATCCTTTAGGTATTGTTTATCGTGTATGTCTGCCAACGCCTGATGTAGACCTTACCCCTCTGTTGTCTTTTTGCAGCTCGATTACTTGGTGACGTGCGCTGTGTGTACACGTTCAGATGCCGGAGACATTCACATCCATAAGAAGAAATCTCAAGTGAGTAGTTGCAGTTTTTATGTTCAGTCATTAAAGGCTAACTCACACTCTATATACAGGTGTAACATATTGAAAAGGTGGACTTCTCTTAAGAGAAGTATGGGGTTTGTTTTTTCCCCCCCAAATACCTAGGTGGATGCTGCATCTGTCCCCTGTTGACTCGAAGGGGGAGAACATGATCGCTAAGTTAACCAATACAAGTGAAGGGATGGACGCTGCTCAACCGATCAAGAGTCCAATGTTAAGGAATGGCCTCAGCAGCCATTCTGGCTACACCCTTTTGATGCGTTTCACCCCGCCACTGGGGCTTGGTCACAGAGGTGACCTCTGGGACCAATCCCCGGTGGGTGGGTTGAAATGTGTCAGAGGGTGTAACCAGAATGGCTGCTGAGGCCATTCCTTTAACATTGGACTCTTGGTCGGTTGAGCAGCGTCCATCCCTTCACTTGTATTGGCTGACACTGGAATCGCTTGGACTCCCCTCTTCTTACTGGTCAGTGGGGTGATCTTTTTTTCCTTCCAGCCACAGCTTGGAGTGGTGCCATAAGGTATACTTTTCACTATGATCGCTGAGATCTCACAGCTGCTCTGAGCAGAGAGTGGTGACTGTCAGTCACCACTGTCTGCTGTAACCCCGCACTGGAGCGCTGGGCTGTGGAAGGGAAGGGAGCGGCTGGCTCAGGCTCTCAGTGGATCACGGAGAGGCTGAGGCAGGTGCCCTCCAGACTCTGGGGTGGATTGCAACTTTGAAGTCAGGATCTTTCCCCAGCTTGGATCGGCTGAGTGACATCCACCAACAGCGGGCTTCAGCTGTAAAAGAGCTTTGGCTGTACTTCTCCATTTAAGTGTCGGGTCAGCACACAGATATTAAATGGGAATCTCCCCAACATAGACACAGTAACAACCGTCACTACCCAAACAAAAAAAAAAAAAATCTCATGAGTACCACCTTGAAATGTCCCTTATATCTTGCCAATGCAGGAAAAAGTTGAGGGTCATTTAACAACTCCCCACCCCATCCTTCTGAGCCATATACCCTTGTCTTATCTCCTGCTGCTCTGGTTTGATGTTCATATGTGGGACACCTTGGCCTGGTGGAAGAGGTCTTTCCATGATTTCCAAAGATCAGCCTATTTATTCAAAGAGGTGGCTTCCCAGGAATAGGCCACATCCATTTTAAAAATCCCTGCCACTTTACGCCCCATTTTTATTATTATTATTATTATTATTATTATTATACAGGATTTATATAGTGCCAACAGTGTTCTAGTGTGTTAGTGTACTCGAGAGGGACAGGTGCAACATCCAAGCTCACTATAGGCAGCATGTCAGTCGGACAGGTGTTGGCTGGATGGGACTGAACACTGTACCGTGTGTGTGGTAGTGGTGTTTGGAGCCATGCGCATTTGTAGGCGAATGTCTGGAATGCAGGCCTGAACCTACAGGGTCCTAATCCATACCACTCAGTACAGTGTTCAACCCTGTCCAGCCACAGCCTGTCATAAACTTTACCAGGCTCCCGGCAGTAGGGCTGGACGCTTCACCTTACCCTTCCTGGTACACTAAAACGCAGTAAGGGACGCACTGCTCCTAAATGGCACCATGTGCAAGAGTTTAAAATCAACCATGAGAGCAATATAAGAGTTGCTATTGCTTACCTTTTTTAGAAAATGCAATCTGACTTTTCTTATGCAGAGCCTCCGACTTTCATGTTGGCTCAGAACAAGTATGTAGAGCAAGGAAGGTAAAGAGAGATAGATATAGATATATAGATATGGGAGAGAGATTTTTTCCATGTCTGTGAATCCCTATTGAAGTCAGAGGGTCAGCAATGAGTCAGTAAACCAACATTTTCAGAGGAGCTGACCATTGCAGCCAACATGTTTACTTGGAGCAGGCACGTCAAACTCAAATGAAACATTTTCTTAAGTATTAGCTGCAAAATTACATAAGGTAGTGTAGCCTTTATCAACTGAAGGACAGCGTGGGTCTTGATCAGTATAAATCCTTAAACTGTTTGGGAGGCCACAAAAAAAAAAAAAGCTCAAGGGCCATGTGAAGCATTACCCACACCTTCTTGCCACAGCTCTGCAAAATCCCTGCTACTTGTAGCTATGGCTGAATGACTCTCTCCCCTTCTTCTGCAGTGTCACACTGTTTGTCTGATTGGGCAATTACAATGTTCAATCACTGTGAGGATGGGTGGAGGGTCGTTTCATCCAGAACTGCCCAGGCAAGTGAATGGAAAGCATCAGCTGTAGAGAAGGTGACTATACAGCACACATTTTGCCCTAAATCGGTCACTTTAAGGAGATACAAATCAACAGATCATACACCTTTGATATTGTAGGTTGCATTTTGTGCATTGCTAGAAATGTTTTCTTTCTGACATTGTTTTGCTGTTTCAGCAAGTATTTGCCTCTCCAAGCAAACATCCGATGGACAGTAAGGGAGAGGAATCAAAGATCAGTTACCCCAATATCTTTTTCATGATTGACAACTTCGAAGAGGTAAAGTGTGTGTGTGTTTTAACATGTGCTTTGTATGACCGGGCTTGCCATTGCCTTCCTGTGGTGTGCATTCCCTGAACTGTCTTTTTTTAGATGCTAGTTGTTCACCTGCAATAAGTTTAGCTGACTTCACTAACTGCATGCTCGTTCCAGGCCAGCGATTTGAGTGTATTGAGGTCAGAGACTGCCACTTTCACAATGAGGTTGACCTCAGTACAGCCAAAGCTCCTTTACACTCTTGTGATCCACAGGAGAAGTACAGCCAGTTCGTTCTATGTTCCTTTGACCAGTTTTCAGCCAACAGCAGGCTAAAGTCCATGCGATGTCAGCCTGCGACAGCCACTCCCTCCACAGCCCAGCACTCAAGTAGGGGAGGGGGGCGGTAGCCAGAGCAGACAGCAGTGACTGACGGTCACCAGCTCTCTGCTCACGGAGCTCTGAGAACTGCACGATCAGCAGTGGCTGATTGCTCAGTTCTCAGTCTTAGAACCGGCAGGGAACAGTTGCAGCATCGGACCGAAGCTGCATCCATCTAGGTAAGTATAATTTCTTAAAATAGAAGTTCAGTTTTTTTTTTATGCGTTAATGTAAAAAATTCAACACTACCTGTTTCCCCCCCGTCCTAAATATTTGACTCTCCTCATCCCTCATCAATCAAGCATTGTCCTGCCTGCATTGCCTCATTACAGGAGCCATTGGCTCTTGCTGCTGTCAGTCAAATCCTGTGAGCATGGAGCTTGGCCAATCTAGCTGTGTGTCTATAGATGCACACAGCCCAGCTCAGGAGTGTTCCTGTATGGGTGCCCCCTCAGTGCACAGCTTTTTTTTTATTTATTTTTTTTCCATCATAAAAACTGGCATTTTTTTTTAGATCTGGTTTGTGATAGAGATTACCTTGTGGTGTAAATTAAAAAAGCTTGTGAGCTACAATCCCTTGCTTGGGCTTCTCCTACGGACATGCTTCACTCTGCAATAGAACTCTTCTAATTAGGACCGGGCTCTGTTGATAAGTAACATACGTCAGTGATAGGAGCCTGAGCAGGTTGTCCTTTTTGCCTCTTAAGCCAATGCCAGGCTAATGATTTTGTTCTTCGTTACAACTCGCCATTGATGGGATCACTAAAATGTGCATTAAATACACTTAGTCTGCAAGCATCGCTCCCTCATTGATACTACTGCAGAAGGTAAATCAGCAGCGAGACAAAGAAAACAATACCTCACTCATCCAGCCAGTGAGGGAGTAACACATGCAAGCAGATGAGTATTGTACTGCCCTGCCATGTCTTGGAAAAGCCAGCCATCCTGCCACTAGCACGTCATCAGCCTCAGGATCACTAGGCAAACCAGATTTTCCAAAAAAAAAAAAAAGTTTTAATATGGGACCACAGCATGGTGTGCGGCTCACAAGTTTCTTAATATGGATTCATATTGCTGGGGTGAGCTGAGTGGTGTGCCATCACTTGATCGGGGAAAGCAGGCAGTACAGAGACCTGGAGGGGTTTCATCACGGTTTTCTCTCATTTTGTGTTGTAGGTGTTCAGTGACATGACTGTGGGAGAAGGAGAAATGGTTTGTGTCGAACTTGTAGCCAGTGACAAAACAAACACGTTTCAAGGGGTCATTTTCCAAGGCTCCATCCGCTACGAGGCACTGAAGAAAGTATATGATAATCGGGTAGGTGTTGTGATCACATAAGTTGAAACATCAAGACTGAGCCAAGAAATATCTGACGACAGATTTTTCAAAGGTTCTGTGGACTGATGAGAGTGACTCCTGGTGGACCAGATGGATGGGCTTGTGGCTGGATCAGTAACTGGCACAGTGCTCCACTTTGACCCATACTAGAACCCCAAATCTACCTTCCTAGCATCTGAGTCGAAGTGGAGCTCTGTGCCCGTTACTGATCAGCCACAGGCCCATCCATCTGATCTGTCAAGAGTCAATCTCATCATAAAACCTTTGAAAAATCTGTCTTCAGATAATTCTTATCCCAGTCTTGACGTTTCAACTTCCAATAAACATTCAAGTTTTTACAGCTTGGAGTTGGACAGTATGCATAAAAATGGTGTTTTGGTTAAAAAAAAAACAAAACAAAAAAAAAACTCGCTTAATAATTGTGCACACAGTGTATATTTCTTTTAAACCCATCACATTTCTATTTGCAGTCTGTTTCTCTACTGTAGAGCTTTTTCTTTTTTTTTTTTTTTTGTCAGGAAGTGATAGGAAATCTCCCCAGTGGCGATGCAAACTGCAGCAAAACACTTTCCTAATCTGGGGCTTTGGCTGTGTCTTCCTGTTCCGGTGACAACCACTCCCTTCATTTCTTCCACTGTAGACACGGGGCCAGGAAGTGAGGTAAAACCTCCCCAGTGGCTTCACAACATTCATAAAAATTCTTAAGAACTTTATTCTAAACTTAACCCCTTTATACCTAAGGGTAAAACGAATCTTAACACCTAAGCACAATTTTGCAACTTTGACATGTGTTAGCAAAAACGTACATCTCATCACAACTACATTGTGCATCCAGGTGGATTATACCTTGTTTTTTTCAGGACAAATTGGGCTTTCATTTGGTGGAGAATGATAATGGATGTCTCCTGTTTGGGTTTTTTTTTTTTTTTTTTGTATTTGTATTACCAAAGGAAAACTGGCCCAAAAAACAAAAAAAAACCTAATCCAAAAAAAAAAAAGACCCTGACCTTTGACCGTGACCAAATCACTAACCGTGGCACAGACCTAGATTGAACCTTGACCTAGGTATTTTTTGTTTATATTTTTATTTATTAACTTTATTTTTTTCCTCTCTGAAAGGACAGAGAGAGATACAGTGTATCTCTCTCCTCCATTCAGAGAGAGAAAACAAGGGAGTCGGGCTTCACAGTGACTGATCACTGTGAGAGCCAATCAGAGGCTATCACAGCGATCAGGTGACCTGGAATTGGGAGTTCCAGGTCCCGATTGTTAGAATGGGACCCGGGTGTCTCAGTGACACCCTGGTCTTTGTGCTGGGAGCGCACCATGCAGCGCACTCCCAGCAGAAAGATTTAGTCAAATTAGCGGCCCCACGGGAAAAAAGCCCAGTTCTGTGGGGCCACTAATTTGCGTGTAGTTGACATTATGGGGTTAAAATAAATTTGCCTGCAGTTGGGCTTAATTGCATCTGACGCCACTATTTTACAGAATCTACCAATCCCTTTCTAGGAGTCCCTGCCCCTATGGTAGCTTACAATCTTATGTCCTTACTAAACACATACCACCTGTTGCTATGCTTTTCCGTGTTGGGAAGAAAGTGGGTGAAAACCAGCACAAACACTGGGAGAGCGTACAAACAGCACACAGTAACTTTGTAAAGCTAAACTCCAGGCAGATATAAAAGGCACAGATTATTTCAGGTCTGTTGTTCTGCCAGACAGGGTTGTGCTTTGTGGGATGAACTGTGTAAATCTTGGGACTGGATGGACATTGATAAAATTCCTTTGGCAGGTGAAACCTCTTTCATATATGAATTTTATGTGAATTTAGTTTTTGCTTGTAGTTCAGCTTTACAGGATAAGTCCACCTTTTGAGAACATGGTACATTTTCCACCCGTTTCCATTCCAGGATTTTCTTGTCTTCAGCTGAGAGAACTTGCAATAATTTAAGACTTTTACATAAAGTCTCAGAAATCATTAATGTCTTCATGTTCTATAGTTTCAATACCGTGTCATAGAGCCATGTAAAAGAACAAATTCCACGCTTTTTTTTTTTCTCAAAAAGGCTTTGGGGAAAAAGGGTGGAAAAAAAGGTCCGTCCCCCCAAATTCAGTTTTTTTTCCAAGGCCTTCCCATCTCTTATTCTGGATCCTGAGTAATTACCTATGAAGTAAGTGATACAGCTAACGTTTGACACCTGTGCTACTCTGTAACTGTATGGATTCTTTGCAGCAGTTTGATAACTGCAGGAGTGCTGTTGTGTTTTATTGGCCTGGTGACTGATCTCATTATCTATTTCTCACAGGTCAGTGTGGCGGCCAAGATGGCTCAGAAGATGTCCTTTGGCTTCTACAAATATAACAACATGGAGTTTGTGCGGATGAAGGGACCACAAGGCAAAGGTCATGCAGAGATGGCCGTAAGCAGGGTGTCCACGGGAGACACGTCGCCGTACGGTACAGAGGAGGATTCCAACCCTGGTTCACCGCTGCATGAAAGAGTGAGTATGAGAGTAGCTTGTACACCATGGGGCAGATTGGTGAGCAGAGCAAAAGTCATAAACTTTTTCGAAGCAGATGTATGATGCGCTATTGGTTGTCCTATACTGCTTGACCACAAGATCCAAGGTCTTCTTTGGTTAACCTACTGCTATGACTAGCACAGTGGAGGTATTTCACACACATGGGGAGTTGCGGTATCATTGGCCATTTTGGTTTCCACAAAGCTCTGTCACTTCTCTCAAAGCTGTGACTGGTGCAGAACACCTCCCTGTGACATACACACAGATGCAAGTGCAGGAACTGACCAACACTGGTTCATTCATTTGCAATGGCAATCCATTTTGTACCGTTTTAGGTCATGAGCATACATAATCCTAAATCAACTGAAGAAAGATGTTTGAAGTGTGGCCTATCTTTTTATATATTTTTTTTTTTTACATTGAAGTGAACCTGACACTTTTCCCTTTTTAAGCAGAGACCAGATGTCTTGAGTAGCTCATATCATCCTCTTCTATGGATACTTACTTTCTCCACCCTTCCTTGTTGCCCTGTTCACCTGCTACAGTCCAGAGCAGAAATCTGAGCTCTGTGTCGGCGCTTACACATCTGTAATACACCCACCCCATGTGACAGTGCTTGGACCTGATGACTGGGCACTCCATGGAATAGCACATCTCCAGAGAGAAAAACATATGCTCCCCCATACCCAGAAGTACATGGTAGCTCCAAGGGTTCAGGCAGGACAGCGCAGTGGCTAGTTCAGCACAGATGAGTATGAGACAGGTGAAAAGGGCTACCAAGGGAAGCTAGAATTGGTAAAGTGACAACTGTGTTATAAGCTCCATCTGGTTCTTTTGTGCATTACTCATAATAACCAGTCAGATTCTACCTTTAATTCTTCAAGTCTATGAAAAATAAAAGGTCCAATTGGTAGCTGTGGACGATGCCAGTTGAGACAATTCTTTCCTCCCAACGCCTTGTAATCAGAATCCTGCTGAAATTTTATTGCTGACCAGTTGCATTCCTTGTCTGGTCAGGTGACGTCATTCAGCACTCCGCCCACTCCAGAACGCAACAACCGCCCGTCCTTCTTCTCTCCATCTCTTAAGAGGAAAGTGCCCAGGAACAGAATAGCAGAGATGAAGAAGTCGCACTCCGCCAATGACAGTGAGGAGTTTTTCCCGGGACAGTGATGACGGTGGAGGTAGGACAAAAAAGACCATTTTTAGTGTTCTATTCATGACTGCTGCTTGGCAGCATTGGATTGCTTGCTTGGAAGATTTCCCTCTTAAATGGCATACTTAATGATTGATTGAATTTTTTTTTTTTTTTTTTTTTTTTGTGCATCCCCAGCCAAACTTTTGTTTTGATTAGATTCCGTAGCAGTTGCATCCTAGATTGGGGTTGATTCTTTATCGTACATCATGGGACATGGAGCAGGCTATTCTTGACTATGTCGGTTATATGCCACCTATGGCTGAATGGACACTGGCCGACCAATCAAAGAGGAAGTCCTCTGCTTTATAAACCCCTTCTACACAGGAAGTACTTTAGTTTTTTACACCAGTATCTGTAAGGTGAATGGTCACTGAAAGTTTTGCTTGTGCTCTTGGAGCATACCTAAGGTCTAGTACAGTTCCTTCGAGAATAATGGGCTTTAATCGGATCCATTCAGAAAGCTGTGAGGCAAAATGGATGTTACCCAAATCTTGCTGGACTCCTTGCAGGTGGAACCCTGTGTAGTTTTAAATCTGACCAAGGCGCTTTCCAGCGAGGTGCTATAGGGGTCCAAGGAAGTGGCCCCACATTATGGGGACTGAGTCCTTGAAGGTCCACATGACAAAGCCTGCTGTGATGGGTGAAGGTTGGTCGTCTGTAATGATTCAGACTACTGCAGCAGGGAATGGTAAGTTTTTTACTTTTGCAGCATATATTTAGAAAAATCTGTCTGGTTATTCTCCCGGTGGCAACTGGGGACCGTGTGCCATTTAGTCTGGCCAGGCCGTGCTTCCTGTGTGTCTAAAGCATTATTGGGCTGCAGTTTCTCCTCCAGCCATTAGAGGTCATGGGGTCGCTCTCTAACCTACACTGGTGCAGTGGAGGCAGGAAGTAGATGGGCGGCCATTTTTATCTTGTGTTTGTAGTCCCATGTGGCTGGCAGTTTAAGAGGCTTTGGAGAGGTAGCAGATACACATAGCAGTCTATGGCTGAATGATGAGGTATGAGTTTTTTCTGGGGGGGGGGGGGGGGGGGATGCATGACCAGACAGGAAACGATTATACGCACCCTGTATTACTCTGCATATTTTTGGTGTACTTGTACAGCTGGTTTCTGATAGGAGTTACAGTGGATATAAATAGTCTACACACCTGTTTAAAATGTCAGGCTTCTATGATGTAAAAAAAATGAGACAAAGATTAATCTTTTCAGAACTTTTTCCACCTTTTTAATGTGACCGATAAACTGTACATCTCAATTGAAAAACAAACCTGAAATCTTTCAGGGGGTAAGTAAACCTATAAAAAACTAAAATAATGTGGTTGCATAAGTGTGCATACCCTTTTATAACTGGGGATGTAGCTGTGCTCAGAATTAAGCAATCACATTCAAAATCATGTTAAATAGGAGTCAGTACACACCTGCCATCATTTTAAAGTGCCTCTGATTAACCCCAAATAAAGTTCAGCTTTTCTAGTAGGTCTGTCCTGACATTTTCTTAGTTGCATCCTACAGCAAAAGCCATGGTCCGCACAGAGCTTTCAAAGCGTCAGAGGGATCTCATTGTTAAAAGGTATCAGTCAGGAGAAGGGTACAAAAGAATTTCTAAGGCATTAGATATAACTTGCAACACAGTGAAGACAGTCATCCTCATCAAATGGAGAAATTATGGCACAACATTAACATTACCAAGAACTGGATGTCCCTCCAAAATTGATGAAAAGATGAGAAGAAAACTGGTCTGGGAGGCTGCCAAGAGGCCCACAGCAACAATAGAGAAGCTGCAGGAATATCTAGCAAGTACAGACTGTGTGGTACATGTGACAACAATCTCCCATATTCTTCATATGTCTGGGCTAAGGGGTAGAGTGGGCAAGATGGAAGCCTTTTTTTACGAAGAAAAACATCCTAAAAAACAGCTAAACTTTGCAAAAACACATCTGAAGTTTCCCAAAAGCATGTGGGAAAATGTTAGTCTGATGAAACCAAGGTTGACCTTTTTGGCCATAATTCCAAAAGATGTTTGGTGCAAAAACAATACTGCATATCACCAAAAGAAGACCATACCCACAGTGAAGCATGGTGGTGGCAGCATCATGCTTTGGGGCTGTTTTTCTTCAGCTGGAACTGGGGCCTTAGTCAAGGTAGAGGGAATTATGAACAGTTCCAAATACCAGCCAATATTGCCACAAAACCTTCAGGCTTCTGCTAGAAAGCTGAACATGAAGAGGAGCTTAATCTTTCAGCACAACAACGACCCAAAGCATACATCCAAATCAACAAAGGAATGGCTTCACCAATCCTATCGAAAATATGTGAGATGATCTGAAGAGGGTTGTGCACAGGGGATTCCCTCACAATATGACAGATATGGAGTGCAAGGAAGAGTGGGCGAATATTGCCAAGTTGATGTGCCATGCTGATGGTCTTTTTGTGTATGAGTCTGAGTTCTGGAATAAAATCAAAAGGTGCTTCAACAACGTATTAGTTTAAGGGTGTGCACACTTAAGCAACCATATTTTTTTAGTTTTTTATTTTTACCCTCCACCTAAAATATTTCAGTTTGTTGTTCAACAAATTAAAGGGGGAAAAAGTTTTGAAATGATTTCTGTCTCATTTTTTACATCACAGATACCTGACATTTTAACAGGGGTGTGTAGACTTTTTTTATATCCTCTGTATGTCTCCAATATAGCTTGCATATGATTTACAGGAACTTGGCATTTCGCCTGCAATGAGGCAGCATAGAGGCTTCATTCAGACTGCGTTTGATGCACAGGTGTTTGGCTAGTCCTGCAACGCTTGTATGGGGCCAAGTGCAGTTGTTTTTTGACAGTCTGATGATAGTATATGCTTCTAGAAAGTGGAGCGGGGCAGGTGTGGCATAGTATTACATTGTTACATGCATACCTGCGTAATTATTAGTTTTATACTTGCATAAACTGCATATGTACATGCAAAAATTGTATGCTTATACATAAGTGGACTGCATGCTTATACAGGTGTTGACTGCTTCCATTATACAGGCGTGAACTGCATAATTGAATGCTCTGCATACTTACATAAATTGTATACTTCAGCAGGCTTGCATACTTGCGTGATCGAGTAGCTGTAGACAATCATGGCTATGGACCGCCATCCCTGTGGGACAGCTTAAGTAGGTTTTGACAGATATAGTTGCTACATTATTTAACTGCTGCACGATTAAAAGGTTTCAGAAGGGTCCAGTGGAGTCGAGGGATATTTTGGTGATATTCACATTTCCTGGTAGACCAGGGGGGTCAGGTGTATCTGGGTCACTATGTTGGTCTGGCATTGCAGCTATTTCTGGTAAGTGGAGCTGCAATGGACTGTGGCCGCATTACCCAAAAAGCGCCTAAGCTCAGAAACTAAGCATTTCCCTCCTAGAATATGAGGCTGCTGTGTGTTAAGTATCTTAGACAGAGGATGCTAGTGCAGTCTGAGATGATTCGAGACACTCAACACGTTCACAGGCCCAAAATAAGACAGGGACATGAGATCTATGTCGGGGTACTGGACATAAGTGTAGACGTCTTTTTGTTTTATATTGGGTTGGTTCGATTAGTGGTAGCATCTCTGCTAGTAATAGATTTCGGGGGTCCGTTGTTGTTCTTAATATGCATATCTTTGTGTGTTGATTTTTTCAGGCCCGTCTTGGATTCTGTGTTTTGCAGTAAAGATTCGTTTTTTTTGTTTTTTGAGGCACTGCTCTTTTGGGCTGGCTACAGCCACAGCCCCCCAAGTGTTCACAAAGCTCCTAGCTGGTGCTGGGCTTGCTAGGGTCACAGGAGGGTGTCAGACTTAGAATGTTCCTGTGCTCAGGGAGCAGTCGGTTCCAAGCCTTGAAGGATACCTCTTTTGCTAATTATATCTCGCTTTAACAGGTCTCTGCATGAGGAAGTAGTATCTACATTAAAGCTGGTTTCCAGCCTATGATTCAACTCCAGGTCTTTCGTGAAGGAACATTCTATCTGGTTCATGAAGGTCCAAGCATTGGATTGCCAGAGAGCTTTGTTCCCAGGGTGTTGCAAAGTCCAAATTGCAGGTGGTTTGTTTGGAATCTAATGAAGGGGTAATTTTCCTTCCAATGATATGAAAGATAGTAGCCACCAATGCCAGTCTCTCCGATTGGGGGGCTGGTTTGGAGGTAGCTACAGCTCAGGGGACTTGATCTCCGTAAGAGAGAAGACTGCTCATCAATATCTTGGAACAGACAGTACACTTTGCTATTGATTATTGGACGAACCAGTTGCACAGGTTGTGGTCAGGGTTGGTCTGACAATATCACGGCAGTGGTTATATCCACCACCGGGGCAGCACCAAGGGTCATGCGATTCAAAAAAAAGAGGAGAGGGGGGCACCACATTCTGTCTGGGGCAGAATAGTATGTGCCGTTTCTGTCAGCAGTACATATTCCAGGTATACGAAACTGGCAAGGGGTTTTCCCTAGCCATCAGTGGCTGATACTAGTTGGGTGGTTCCTGCATCCTTCTCGGCAATCTGCCGGTGTTGGGAAACTTTGGATATGGATCTGCAGACTTCCAGGTTTTACAACCGGTTAGACAGATTGTGTCCAGGTCAGGAGTCCCACTGACAGTCTAGCGCAGGAGGGCTTGGTACACCGGCATAATCTGGCAAGGGATGCTCCTTGGACACTTCTGGTCCACCCAGACCTATTGTCTTGGGTCCAATAATGTATCCCGCTTTAGGATAGCTAGGATCGAAGGCTGCACTATTAAAGTCCAGGTCTACAACGATGGGGAGGATTTTAAGGTTCCTTTTTTTCCACACTTTTAAACACCAGGAAGCTGGCTTCAGGGATCTTCCATTACAGGATCTGTAAATTTTATTTGCCTCAAGTGAAGCCTTTTTTTTTTTTTTTTTTTTTTTTTTCCTAACAGGAGGGGAAACAGAAATTGATATTAAGTGCCGTTTAAGGTCATATTTCGGATCTATGCATTTTTCCCAGAGATCATTATTTCTCACTCCTTGACTCATACGTCGTACAGGATGGAGCACAGATGGTACTGTCTTTTAGGCCACCCTGGTGTCCTTGGGACCTGAACTTGATCTTGGCTATATTGCGGAGGCTACCTTTTGAACCAATTAAATCAATTTTTAATCTTTTGACTCAGAAAAGGTGGCTTCTTTGATTACTATCACTTCAGCAGGAAGAGTGTAAGATCTGGTGGCTCTTTTGGGTCATTCTTGGTCTTGCCAAATGATGAGGTGATGTTGCATCCTCATCCATCTTCTTTTCTGGAGTGAATTTTAGTTTTCACTTAAATCAGGATAGTGTCTTGTCTTTCTTATTTTCCTAGTCCACTGTTGGCAGGGGAAAGATTGCTGTGTACTCTGAATAAACTTTAGATGGCAAGGATTTACTGGAGTTTTGCAGCACAGGACAGAATTCCTGGTTTGTACTGCCAGAAGGGCCCAGAAAGGGCAGGTGGCTTCCAGGTCAACTTTTTCTCATTGGATCTGCCAATTAAATATTCCAGCCTATGGTTTGAAGGATAAGGTCCCACCCTTTCGGGTGAGAGCACACTCTACTGGGGGTATGGGGGCATCTTGGGCGATCCGCTTTGAGGTGTCAGTTGTTCAGGTTGCATAACCGCTACATGGTCTTCAGTTCATTCACAAGGTTCTATCGGGTGGATGTCAGAGCTGCAGAGCATTCTGCCTTTGGGTGCAGTGTTTTACTGACAGCTGAGTAGGTCCTGAGGGATTACTAATGGTGGCTATCATGGTGTCACCCTCCCCTCAAATTTCTTTATTGCTTTGGGACATCCCGCAAAGTCATGAATAGCCTGCTTTGTGTCTCGTGATGTACGATAAAGAAAACTTGATTTTTTTTTTCTTCATACTTACCTGTAAATTTAATTTTTTGGCGTAAATCACGGGACACAGAGGTCCTGCCCCTCTTTCTGGAATGTCATGCTTGCTACAAAAACTGAAGTACTTCCTGTGTAGGAGGAGTTATAGAGGGGAGGACTTCCCTCGAATTGGTCGGCCAGTGTCTAGTCACCTGTAGGGGGCATATAACCCACATAGTCATTAATTGCCTGCTCTGTGTCCTGTGATGTACTCCAAGAAATGGATTTTACAGGTAAGTATGTAAGAAAAAAATCCAGGTTTTTTTTTTGCGGCCAATGTCCCCTTTGGATAGATTTCTCCTCCTCTCTTGCAATGACCTCATAGGAAGTAAGGGGCTCTTCCCACAGGGGACACTGACAGCAGTTAAAATCAACACTTCAGCTTTCACAGCGATTCCTCACTTATGAGATATGTATACTTACATGCATTATACTGGGCCAAGCAAGATTAATATAAGCATGTAATTAAGATCCTAACTGGTTCAGTTTTAAATATATTAATGTGCACCTTTTTAGCTCTTTTTAAAAGCACCATAATTGAAAGGATCATAGAGCTCCATCTGCTGGCTAAGAATAAATACACAAACTATTCCTCCATGCAGAACTTCAAAGATAAGTGTGTTATGAATCAAAGCCTATTTTTGCCCCCTTCCTCTGACCCAGCTTAACCCACTCTAATGCATTTTTGTTTACATCCATTGACACACGTCTTCACTGTCCTGGCTGCATCAGGACAGTGAACACTTCCATGCCTCTGTGTCCCAAGGCTGGAGACAGTCAAAGGTGGTCTCATAGTAGTGTTGGATGTAAACAAACAGTGGACTCCTTTCTGGAGGGGAGAGTTGGTTTAGGTTAGGTCAGGCATGGCAGGGGGAAAAAAAAAGGATAAATGCATTTTGTCTTAAAGTGCACATATCCTTTCACATGTACGTGACGGAAAAGAAAAACATTTTTACCATTTTTAGACCTGATTTCCGGCATCGGCCAGAGAAGATGGCCGGGACGCTGCAGGAGGGAGTGAAGGACAAGGTAAGTGCTGCAGGGAATCCCTGAGCAACGCCGCATGGTAAGCCCGAGTGTAGGTCAAGGATACCGCTTTTGGTACTGAAATTTTTACCCCGAGCTACACTCGGGAATACCGCCAGGGAGGTTAAACCCTCAGCGATTTTTTTTTTTTTTTTAAACTTTAAGCCACATTGAGGGCAATAAAATAACCATTCCCCATTAAAAACTATTTGTTAAAATTCTTATGCCAGCGCTTGCAGTTTACAGCTTTCTGTGCTGCTAGCTACTGGTCCTACAGTGTGCCTTCCCTGGATTTCAGGACTTCACGGTGGACAGTGTAGTCTAAAGCTATTCTGTTAGCTTGGAGGGGGGACAAAGAAGGAACGGGGGTAGTCTTTCCATCCTAGGCTAATGGCTGTGTGTTTCTATTGATGCACACAGTTTAGGGAGACACAACTCTTGTCCCTGCATGCAAGGGCGGCTGCATAGAATGTTGCAAGAGAAGCCACCCTGAAATGGGAAATCTGGGGCAGCAGTCTTGGCACCAACTCAAACAAAAATAAAGATGGAGGCAAGGGAATAAAAATGGAAGTTGCATACTCGGGAAGTAATTAAATCTGCTGCTGAAAATGCTTACAAAAATGAAGGTGTAAATATCACTTTATTTGAAAAAAAAATGCATGCCAAACCCTTGTACATTCCCATAAGTACTGCTCTATATGACCCTCCTTTAAATCATTCCACAGATATACACAGTGTAACAAACCTGAGGTCTCGCTCCCTCTCTGGAACGGGAAGATCGCTGGTGGGGTCATGGCTGAAGCTGAACAGAACCGACGAGAACTTCCTTCTCTATGCACACCTGACCTACGTCACCCTACCACTGCAGCGCATCCTGTCCGGTAAATCCCTGACAACAATTCAAAGTTTTATTATTTTACTACTTTTTCACCTTTTTCTAATAATTGGGATCGGAGGTATTAAACACTGAATGGAAGTGACACTTTTGGGAGAACATAGCAATTTTTGTTACTGGGTTTAAAAACTAACTATGCAACTTAGTTTACTAGACCTTAGACGCCGTGCCTGCATATGCACCAGGTCATGTTGTCCCAACACACTCCCTTTCCTTGGGTTATGACACTGCTCAGTATGGGTGTCACCATACGAAAGGGAAAATTAATAGATAACTGGTGTGAATGGAGGCTACTAGGGTGCAAGCATCCCAGAGATACTCTGTCCAACAATTGGTGTAGAGAACTTTTGCAGCACCAAATATAATTCAAAGGCAGAAAATATATATGCACTGTGTGCACAATCAGGCAAGTTGTATTTTTGAGGATTAATTTCAATATTGAACAACTACAGTGCTCTCAGTCAATCAAAAATGTTAATAAACCTAAAACCTGAATATTTAAGGAAATAAAAGTGAGGTTTCGGCTTTCTTAGGCGAATATCTGTGTGTGCACAATTATTGGGCAACTATTAGTGTGCAGAGTTATTATGCAAGTAAATGTAAAACGAAAATTGTCTCACTTGTTTATTTTCATCCGTTAGTGAGAATAATAAACAACTCAAAATTTACAAATAAACATTTCTGAAATAAAAAAAAAAAAATCAGTGGCCAATATAGCCACCCTTCTTTTCAATAACAGCCATAAGCCTTCCAATCATGGAGTCTGTCAGTTTATTGGTCTGTTGATGATCAACTTTTTTTGTGCAGCAGCAGCAACCACAGCCTCCCAGACACTGTTCAGAAGGTGTGATGTTTTCCTTCACCATACATTTCCCATTTAAGAAGGGCTCACAAGTTGTCAATAGGGTTTAGGCCAGGTGAGGAAGGGGGCCATGTCATTGATGCTTTCATCTTTAAGGTCTTTACTGGCTAGCCACGCAATGGAGTACTTTGTTGCCAGCAATGGAGCTGCTTTAGAGGCTCTGCATCCATGACCCCTCCCCATGCAACAACAGAGTGATTACCTCTACTTCTATAGCGCTGTTTATGCAGCACTGTATCAATATAGATATATAGTACATTCACATCCGATCCTAACCTCAAGGAGCATAGTCTAAGATCCCTAACTCATTCATTCATACACTTACTAGGGCCAATCTACACAGGAGCCAATTAACCTACCAGCATATTTTTGGAGTTCTCTGCAATAGTGATCTATTATTTATTTATAGCAAGCAATAGATCACTATTGGAAGTGATCTTTTGCTACATGCAGAGTTCGATCAATTTGTTACTGACCTTATATGGAACCATCACAAAGGTGGAAAAATGTAAGCAAAAATGTTAACATGAGACTCCCAGAACTCAGTGCTGGAAACGCAGTGCAGATGCAATCTGCTGCAGGTGTCGCTATTAAGGTGGTGACACCCCAAACGCAGGTCACAAACTTATTGCGTCTACCCGCACCTGATCAAATGGGACAAAAGTACCATGCAGTGCATTTGTAGTGAGTTTCCCAAAGTGCACTACTTTGCACTATGTGCTACTTAACAAGAAGTACATTCAGGGAAAGCAACCATTCCACTTCACACGTGAGGAGATTCCTGGAATCTGCAAAACGCTCTTCAGCCTTCAGCACTGTAGTAGCCAGTGTTTGCCATATGTTTGAGTGATTGGTGTCACAAGTTGCCTGGAATTACATACACCAAAACCAGAATGCATTCTAATTACAGCTGTGTGCTTACACGTTTTTTCCTCTTTGCAGATATCTTGGAGGTGAGACAGAAGCCAATCTTGATGTCATAGCAGAAAAAGTTGTCGCTGCCATCGGAAAACTGAAACTTCACTGCCAAAGTGCCTCCTTGACCTGCAGTGGTTTCCTTTGAGAACACTACCACCTAGTGTCTGTGAGCAGAAATGCACTGGGTGTAATATATGAAAATAAAAGGAAGCAAAGGGATTGACTGTTGTCCAGGCTAACTACCCCACCCTGGTCCCTGCAGTAAGAAGAGGGTTAAAAATAATAAAAAAAAACAAAAGTACCAGCCAATCTAAAGTGCCTCTCTAACCCTTCCTAATCTTACATCACACAGTGTTCTGGTCAGAGACTTGATTATAAGGGGCTGCTTTCAAAACTAACAGGCTTTACAAACAATTTGTTATATATACTTTTGATTGCAAGTGCAAAACGAACAAACGAAGGGACAGTGCACGCACTGCTAATGCTGTCCGCGCTTTGGTAAGCGATTTCATTGAATGTCACGATGTGGGGCGATGGAACTATAATGTATTTGGCGTCCGTGTTATATGAGCGCAACAGAAATGCGTTATTTGTAAGCGAGGAATTTTAATAACTCGCCATTGGAAAAAATTATCTCCAGTGTGTAAAAGCCTTTGTTTTCCTTTTTTTATTTCGTGTTTGCACCTGCGTCTTTCCTATGTGTGTTTTTTCTTTGTTTTAATTTTTTTTTAACAGAAAAATTGTGCAATCCAAATTCTGTACCTGTTGAGTAACCTCTGCCTATTTTTATTTATTAACTTTCATCTTTTTGTAAAGAAAAAAAAAAAGTTAAATAACGTTGTGTACACTTTGAGGGAAAACTAAAAGAATGGTGTTCTCTGAACTTCTACTACACCTGATTTTTTTTTTTTTTTTGGCAATTTGTAAGCGAATTAAAAGGTCAATATAATTGTTGCTTTTTGAAAAACCTTGTGAAAGAATTTTTATTGAGATAGACTTGTGTATGTGTAAACAGATCACATTTATTTCCCTTGGAAATTTTTCTTTCCTTCCGGCAGCCAAAAGGAGTAGTGGAGGAGTAAATGGGGAGGGTATGTGCCGCTTGTGGGTGCACTGTTAAAGTGCGCATACAAAATTGACTTTGCTCTGGACCCTCAAGTATCCTATCCCCTCCACCTCAGGTACAGACCTCTGGTGCCTTGTTTCCATCCAGAATGTGATCAATTTTATTGATTACAACACATCCCCCACAAGAGAATGGTTCAATAAAGGTGATTGAACACAGCTTGGAGTGTGGCATCTCTGCTTTAAGAACACATGCCATTAAAGGAAACCTTGTGGTTTTTCTCCACATAACAACATCTCATCAAATTCACAGCGCCCACTCACTGTTTTTAAAATATTCTGTTTTTTAGCACATTCTTTGCTGAAAATCTTCCATCTTCCTCCTAAGGAGACCTAACAAGGGTTGGTCTGGATAAAACCTATCATGTATATTACAATAGCACATAAGTGTATAATGAAATAAGATGCTGAATGCTGTTTGTGACAGACTGTCGTGGACCCTGACATCCTATTTCAGGTTTATGAAAAGGATAATGTTACAGGTAAAAGCAGTATTGTAAAGTAGTCTAGTGGCGCATAAATCAATAGTGCCAAAAAAAACTCTTATAAAATATATAAATATAAAAATACAAATTAATAAAATAGCAAAAAAATAATGTATTCCAAAAGAAACGTCCAAATGAATCAGTCCACAAAGCAATCACCACGTGAAGAAAACTTGTGAAGAAATTAAATGCATACATATGTGTAGCAGTGCTCCCCTCTCAGGTGTGCACTCACCAAAAATTGTTGCCTCCCACTCTCGTGGTTGGCACACTCAGCTTAAAGTAGACGGTTTCTCCAAGGACCAATCGGGTCACTGTGATGTTTTAATGTACGCTTTATTCTTGAAACATTGGGATCCCAGGAAAAACGCTCCCAAACTCCAGCACATAAACTCCTTCTCACAACGCTTCACACTCCAAAAAAACATGTAGGAGAGAGAAAAAGCGAGAGAACCCCAAATGGTGCAGTACCAACTACAAGATTTTATTGCCACAATAAACTTTATTGATTCTCATCTTGTAAGTGGCACTCTATTGTGGCAATAAAATCTTGTAGTTGGTACTGTACCATTTTGGGGTTCTCTCGTGTTTTTTTTTTTTTTTTTTTTTTTTTTGGTTTTTTTTTCTACATGGTTTTTGGAGTGTGGAGTGTTGTGAGAAGGAGTTTATGTGCCAGGGTTTGGTAGTCTTTTTCTTGGGATCCCAATGTTTCAAGAATAAAGCATCAGCACATACAAAATTCACAAGTTTTCTTCATGTAGTGATTGCTTTGTGGACTGATTCATTTGGACTTTTCTTGTGGACTGATTCATTTGGACTTTTCTTTTGGAATACATTATTTTTTTGCTAGTTTATTAATTTGTATTTTTGTATTGTTTATATTTTTATATTGTTTATATATGAGTGTTTTTGGCACTATTGATTTATGTGCCACTAGATTACTTTTGAAGTGTATCTTTGCTAAATTTTTATTATATTTTAAAGTGGCAGTGTACTGTTTATACATAGATGTGATATAGTAGTGATAAATATCATGAATCTACACATTTTAGCACAGTCTGATGGTCATACACTTTCACTATTTTAGTATTATAAAGTAGGCTCTCCCTGTTGTCTACATGCACCTGTCAGTGTTCTCAAATACCCCTAGACCTGTTGAAGTCCAGTTGGCCTTTATACCAACAAGAGGCATACAAGTCAATGGCTCGCTCACAGCCTCCTGGTTACCAAACCAGTCATTCATAATAATGACCCAAGGGCAAGAGTGAACAGGCCAGCCACCAACTTGCTTCAAATTTGCATTTCAGGCTTTCAAAATTCTTGAGAACATGGATTGTCAAGGCAAAATGATAAAGAAAAACATTTGCAGGATATTTTGCAATACGTGTACATTTCCCATGTTTGTTCTCTTTTTAAAGACTCTGCAAGTACAAATACCTGTTGACCTGCCAGAATTGCAGACTAAGATAATCTTTAACCATGTTTGAGATATTGCAGACATGGAGTACATTATTTTTCAGTGGCTTGGTGACTTTTAGATCTGCATTGTGAAAAGGAGCCGTAAACCACAACAATTATGTAGCACCAGAAGTGTGTAAGGAGCACCTATGGCTGTCCCCATGTTCAGGGTATAATTTATGTGATCCTGTGTGCAAACTTGGAATTGGTTTGAGGCCTCTAACTACAGGTACTTTGTGACCTATTTCCTTTAAAAGTGAACTCAAGGCACAAAAATTTCATGTAAACGTATTCTTCAATGGCCACAAAATTTGCTTTCTGTGCATCAAATGCTTTTCTATTTATTAACATAAACTGTGTGGTGTGCTTTACCTATACTGTGCAGACAGCAGAACTGTGGGAGGGGCCCAGCAGATCCCACCTACTATAGGCTGTCTGCAGAAAGCTACAGAAGGGGGCGGAGACCAGACCAATCACCTTGTACAAGGAGAGGGCAGCAGTGACCAGTCTTTTTATTACAGGAACCTTTTCCACAGAGGTAAACTTTCACACTGGATTACTGCACAGATCTAGATCAGGGGTAGGCAACCTGCGGCTCTCCAGCTGTTGCAGGACTACTACAAGTTTCATCATGCCTCTGCAAGTCAGCTGTATCTGTCAATTTTGCAATGTCTCATAGGAAATGTAGTTCCACAACAGCTAGAGAGCCTCAGGTTGCCTACCCCTGATCTAGAAGAAATGCACAAAGCACACCAAGATTTCAGTAAAGAATGCTTATGACTCTTGTATTTACACCATCCTTGTTTATCCCAGGGTTCAGGTTTAAAGCTAAGCTTAAAGCTATTATGTAAATATGCAGATAAAATACATGAGGGAGCTGATTTACATGCAAAATGATGTGTTCCTTTCTGAGATCTATACAGCTCTGGTATGCAGCACAGCCCTATATGGTAGGACAGGATACCGAATTGTTCTCTGCTGCATAAGGGGCTTAGAGAGGAGAGGGTGGAAAGGGGGAGGAGGGGAGACGTGTCCATAACTTGAACAGCAAGGGAGACTCACCAGCACACCGAGGATCACCAATATGGGTCCAAAAGTTTTTTAATGAACGATCACATAGTTTCAGCAAGGCAACGTTTCGGAGCCTCGCAGGACCCCTTCATTAGGCATGTGACCTGATGAAGGGGTCCTGCTAGACTCTGAAGCATTGCCTTGCTGTAACTATGTGATCGTTCATTAAAACTTTTGGACCCATATTGGTGATCCTCGGTGTGTTGGTGACATTCTCCCTTGCTGATTCTGTTCGGTTTCAGCCAACTGTCACTGCAGCACCCACTTATATACACACAGACATTTTTAATGCAGGAATGTGTGCATTTGGATTGTACACTTGCATAACTTGAACAAAGCACAGGCACATTCCTGTGTAAAAGACAGAAATCCACTGAGGACCTGGGAGGGGACCTGTTGGCAGGAGCAGAGGAAACAGTAGTACACTGATCTTCCTATCGGGGTGTGCCAGCACATGTCTGACCATCAGAATACAGGCAGGCTATGCTCCCAAGTGGAATGCAAAGAAGCAAAGTGATCACACTGATGAATGTACTTTTATGCCCTGTACTGTGGATAATTGGACATGGGAAGCAGATGGACTGGCAGGATCACCAGGTATTCCACACAAAGGAAGCAATGCAAAGAGAAGGGATACTTTTTAATACAAGTACATGGTAACACAGATGTATTACCTCAACATTTCAGATCTCTGATATGCAAGCCTTACCCCTACCCCACTCTGTGACTGGCAGTAAAAAGAGAAGCAGCAGGCTAATGAGCTCATCTCTGTCACTCAGTTCTTTCCATCAGCCTATTTTGATAGTATTTGAAGCACAGCTGATTGGATTCTTGTGCTGCTTCTCCCCCAACCAGTCTGAGCTCTGCAAGAGGCTGATAGGCAGTTCATACACTGGTAAATACTGGTAAATATGATAGCTCACTTA